AGGTGACAGAGAACGTTTGCTGTCACTGTCCCGGGTTAAAACTTCATTCTGCGAAATGGCCAAAGCAATCAGTGAGTGATGGAGTAGCTCTTAAAAAGAAACCTGGCATTTAATTAACTTTCCAAAGTGCTGGTTCAGCAACCTCTGTGTATTACATTTTGAATATTGAACAAGCATCTCTAATCGGATCTGGATTGCTCTGGGCCTGGTGTGGTGGAGAACACCTGCTTAGTTTTCACGAACACCACGGACTCGGGCGTGAATTTCGGGATCACTCAGGAACAGAGACTTCACCTAGTGGACCATTCAGGCCCCTTGCTATTTCTTCCTCCTCGCATCCTTTGGGTCAAGTCCATGTTCATTCACACTTCTGTTAGAAGAAAGTAGGCAACTCAGGAGGAGAAGGCAAATAAGTTTCAGTTTTGCTGCTTAGCAACTGGAGTATTCAGCTGAATGTCTCAAAGCTTAGGGCAAGGAGTCTCATCTACGTGACTAGGTCCCATTTCTAGAAGTTACTACCTCAGAGGGATGAGGAGTAAGCCCAGCCCATGTACACTGAAAAAGCTTCCGGGGGTGAGTCTTGTGCACCACTGTTGAAGAACGACTAATTTAAAAGATTCTCTCCAGCTTCCAATTCGCTGTCTATACCATATCGTGCCTTCCATTAGGAGAGAAAATCAAGAAGGGACCGTCTACACAGTAAATCCAAGCAGATGTCTGGGTGCCTTAGGGATATTAGATAATCAACTGGTATCTTCCTTTGAAAAGGCTTGAGGCAAAGTGTTTGGAATCTAGGGTGAAAGTCGGGAGACATGGATTCTAGTTTCAGCCTCATCACTAACTAGCTCTGTGATTTGGGTGAAGCCCACAGCCGCAGTGCCCAACGTCCCTCTCTGTGTTTAAAATTGTTCTGCTGAAACCTGCTTTTCCTCTTCTCCAGAACTCAGCCGAGGTAGTGTTTGTAGATGTGAATGTCTTTGAAGAGGATTGAAAAGTGCTCTGTGTGAGGTGATCTTGCTGGAATTATGATTTGCCAGGTTCCCCAAATTTCTAATAGCCACTTTTGGGGCAAAAGGCACGGGGGCCCTGAGTGCAGAAATAAACCGGCAGCCCAAGGCTATGCTGATCTCAGCTCTGCAGACAGCCTGCCAGGGGGCTGGGACCAGGCCACACAAGCCTCATCGACAGCCTCAGTTTCCTCAGAAGTTGGGAATGAAGTGTCTGTGAAGAGGTGCTCCAGAACCCATAATTCTTTACCTCAGCCTCTGTCCCCACACAGTCTGGAAGGCAGAACTTCCATATCAGATTCTTCTCTGATTACCTACCCTGTGGACTGTGGTAGACTACTGTGTTTTAGGTTCTTGTTTGTTTGCTTGCTTGTTTGTTTTTAACCTGTCACCAGTAGTTTAAAAATACACTCAGGGCTGAGCACAGTGGCCCATGCCTGAATCCCAGTGCTTTGGGAGGCAAAAGCAGGAGAATTGCTTGAGGTCAGGAGTTTAAGAACAACCTGGACAACATAGTGAGACCCTGTTTCTACAAAAAAATAGAAAAAAAAAATTAGCCAGGGACAGTGGCACGCACTTGTAGAGGTGGGAGGATAACATGAGCCCAGGAGTTTGAGGCTGCAGTGAGCCATGATCCCAACACTGCACTCCACTCTGGGCCACAGAACGAGACCCTGTCTCTAAAAAAAAAAAAAAAAAGTAAATTAATTAAAAATATACTTCATGATTGGGTATGGGTACACATAAAACAGGAAACAAAACGTTTATATAATACCTATCCTTACTATTTTCAGCACACTGCGTTTTCTGTGCTATTAAAAAAGAAAGATGAAAGAAAAATTTTAAAAGGAAAGGAATGCTGGTGGTGAGCCACAAAACTGGTTTCGTGGCTCAGTAGTGGGTCATGAGCTGAAGTTTAAAAAACATGGTGCTAGATTCTGTGTCTTTTGCTGGGCTGCTTGTCGCTGCACTACCCTGAGGTGCCTTTGAGGACCAGGCAGATAAAGTAAATCTGTGAAGTGGGGTTTTATTTCAGAATGGCACCTTCAGTCATATTCCTGAGATACATACACAAATTATTTGCATATTCGCATTTCTATAAAGAAATATACTCTGCCAGTTTTCCTAAAACACGCTCCCCACTTTGTCTTTTTGCCTCCTCACATTTCATAGCTGCATAGCTACAGGACGCACTTTGCCAGCCTCCTCACTCCTACTGGAAAACCAACAGCGTAGATGACGTAATTGAGGACTAGTTCTGGACCCCCAGTGTTTGGGAGCAATGCGGGGTCGGGGGAGCTCAGGTTCATCCACTGCACGTCCAGTATTGCCAGGCCGAAAAGTTAAACTAAAAAGTTAGAGTTTAGAAATTTGGATTTGTATACAAAATCTCCCCATTTTGGCAATGAATTTACATTAAAACAGAACAAAACAAAAAATAAACAGACAGCAGTATGGTTTAGACCAAACTCATCTGCAGGCTAGGTAAGGCTGGGAAGTGGCCTGTGTTCCGTCTGTGACCAGATCAGAGGCAGGGTGCACCATCCTACTCAGTGCGCTCCCAGAACCTGTTATTTCTGGCAGAGAGTGAGAGAGAGAGAGAGAGAGAATGAGAGAGAAGACGCCACCTGAGGGCATCCCTGCTGCCCGTCCTTGAGGACTCCATTTGATTTTTCTCCTTCCTCTGTCGGGAGAGTCCTTGGGCTCCCCCTAGAGCGAGAGAGAGCAGGATGTGGGCTCAGCAGCAATTAAGCTGAATATTAAACTCATCCCCCTTTTGGATGTTGAGTGGATAAATGGCAATTATTCAGCCTCCCCCCAAAGATTAGCATTATCATTATTGTTTCCTTCAGACAGAATCGCGGCTGGTTTTGCCACCGCACATTGTGTAGGGAAGGAACGATTCGGTCATAACTCCTGAGGGTAATTGGAGACGAATATGTCTCTTATGTACACAACAAAGGCGCCAGCCTTTCTTCATAGCCTCTTTAATCCAAGGATTCTTCTCTTATCCCTGTTTTCATCCAAGCACATCTACCCTTGATGACATTAGCTGTGTCATTCAGACAGTGGGGGTATAGAGTTTAACTTCATGAGGACAGTTAGAGGCATTGGTCCTCGGAAACGGCGTGAACTAGGAAGACAGCTTCTGTCCTCCCACACAGACGGAAGGTGGCTTTGGTGGCTACTGGGTGCTCTTCCTTTAGGATTCCGTTGACTTAGAACAGGCGTTGGAAGCCTATAGCCTCCAGCAATACCAGGCTGGGGATGCCCTGGGCACCCTGCAGTGGTTTCCCCATGGTGCCTCCCACTACCCATTCTGTTCCCCCCTGCCCTCCTAACCCTCATTGCTGAGTCTCCTTTATCTCTCTTTAAGGGTCAGAAACTGCAGCCTGGGGGAGATTCCCTTAGAGTTGTTATACCCTGTTCTTCCAGCTTGACCTACCCATTCTCCCACCTCACTTCAGCCGTCATTCTTTCTTTTTAAAAATAGTACAGTTGATAGAGTAAATTCCATGGAAAGCAGTCTATTTAAACTTTGACTGACTTTTAAAAATCATTTTTAATTTTTTAATTTTATATTATTAATTTTTTTTTTTGAGACGGAGTCTCACTCTGTCACCAGGCTGGAGTGAAATGGCGTGATCTTGGCTCACCACAATCTCCACCTTCCGTGTTCAAGTGATTCTCCTGTCTCAGCCTCTGAGTAGCTGGGATTACAGGCACCCACCACCATACCCAGCTAATTTTTGTATTTTTAGTAGAGATGGGGTTTCACCATGTTGACCAGGCTGGTCTCGAACTCCTGACCTCAAATGATCCACCTGCTTTGGCCTCCCAAAGTATTAGGATTACAGGCATGAGCCATTGTGCCTGGCTGAAATTTTTATTTTTTAATTGACAAAAAAAAAAAAAAGAATGTAGAATTCTGCTTTTGGCAGGGGGAGTTATTTGTGTTTTGCAGGAATTGCTGATTGGCTCCAAGAAACCAGTTCTTACTGGCGAGGCTGGTGGCCCACCCTGTCAAGGTCTACATCCTGCCTCCAGGCCATTTGCCATCCTTTGCTGTTGCTCATCATGGTGCTAGATTTCTGACTTAAAATAACTCATTTAAAACAAACAAACAAAAAATCCACAATAACAGAATTGTGGAAGTTTTCAGACATACCAAAATGTAATCGCCATGTACCCAATGTTCAACTTTAATAATCATCAACATTTCGCCAGTCTTATTAGAAAACTTCAGATCAGTGTTTCTCAGAGTGTGAGTAGTGACACACTTAGATTAGAATTTTAAAATGCATATTCCTGGGCTCCCCCCAGCCCACCCAGACCAGCTGATTCAGAACTCTCCCTGCCAGGCCCACCAATCTGCATATCTGACAGGCTCGGTGGATGGTTCTTATGCACACTGACGTGTGAGAACCATGTGAGAACATGTGAGAACCGTAGGTGCGTGTGTGTCAGCCAGGCCCTGGCACTACTCACCCACCATCACTCAGAAGGTCCTCTCGTCCTTCGTGTGAAGGGCACAGAAAAGCAGTTCCGAAGCCTGAAACCTGAACTGCGAGGCAAGGGCATCCCTTTTTGCTCATTGGAAGCTGCAAGTGCTGACAGCTAATAGCACCAAATAAGACCCAGGGTCTCAGTCCTAAGAAAGCACTCTATAAACCAGTCAGTTTATTGCTGAAAGAAAAGAGGGCACTGAATCATCTGTATCTATTTGAATTTTAAGCCACTCGCTCAACCTGCACTTAAACTCTCAACAATTCAATTTGGAGTGAGGCTGATATAAAGCTGTACGAAGGCACTACAGCATCCTTGGTTCTCTCATGCTGGCTGTGGGGCTTGTCTCTAAAGAGAACTGCAGACAGATAAAGCACTTGAGATATGCTAATTTTTGTCCACTTTTGAAACCTTCCTCAAGATACTACCCTGGTGCATCAGACTAGTGGGCTCTTAAAAACCTTGTCTTTTTTTTTTTTTTTTCAGGTTTAGGAGGAAGGCTTCTGAAGAAATAGAAGAGTACGTTTCCAGTATTCTTATTCTTATGGTATCTATGTTGATCTTGGTCAACAGTGTGGTCTTGGCGGTCATGACTTGTTCCACCTATGTTGAACACAGTGTTAGAAGTCTGGGGCTAGAACTATTTTTGCCTGCTGAATCCAAGGTTTGGTTAATCCCGCTTCCTCAACTGAAGGTCTGGACCCTTTCATTGATGCCCATGTCATATCTCCCACTGTGTGGTTTTTAGAATTATACGTCCAGGTATCAGGGTACTGGCCCATGCCTTCTGCATTATTGATATAGATGGGCAGAAGCAATACCCGCTTCTAAGCCTTGCCTTCTCATAAGACTTATATCAGAAACGAAGGAAGTTTTCTAGATAAAGGTGGCTGTGAAGGCAGCGCCCCCAGTTTCCCACTGCTGGGGGTGGAAGGAGCATTTATGTCATAGCGTTTGTGATGCTGTCCTCTGGAATAGTGCATTGCACAGCCTGTGCAGCCACACACGGCACACCCAGTGGCCTAATTAGGTTTGACCAACTAGGAGAAAGAAAGTATACAATCAACATTTGGGATGTTCCTTTCTGTGTTTGAAACTCATTTTCTGCTCTCCTTTTCTTCTTTTTTGGGGGGCAGTTTTCGCCTCAGACCGCAGAGCCTGAAGGGATCAGATTATGGAGGAGGTAAGAGGCCCTTGAAGGAAGTCAAAAGGTCTTCTAGAGAGGCCCCAGAACATTTCCTGGGCTACAGCTGAGGCACTGTTGACTGCAGCATTCCTGAAGACATTTGCAGTGGTCTCCTGACGCACGCTGACACACATCTCCATGCCTTGTTGAATGCTGCCGCCTCTACCCGGAGTATCTCTCCCTTCTTTATCTGCTAACCCTGCTTATCCTTCCAAAGGTCAGCCAAAGCATCACCTCCCCTGAAACGTCTTCTCTTCCCATCCCACTCCCTCTCTGACCGGATGTTCTTTCTCCATGCTCCTCTAACCTCCTTGGCAAACCAATGTTGTAATTACATGGCTAATACTTACTAGGTGTTGACCATATCCCAAGCACTGTCCTGCCAGTTTACACATGTTAAAGCATTTTCTCTCACCACAACCCCATAGTACTACTATTATCCCCATTTTACAGTTATGGAAACCAAGGCATGGAGAGGTTAAGTAAGTTGCCCAGAGTTGCTAAGTGAGTAGAGCCAGGATTTGAGTACAGTTAGGAGGTATTGTGCTTTAACTCTTTGTTGCCTTGATTGTTTTCCCACCAGACCTCTAAGCTTCTTGATGGCAGATAACACATGTTCTTTATCTTTGCACCTCCAGTAGTTAGTTAATGACTAGCTATATAAATGCAGGGAAAACAGCACTAAAAAGGCAAGTAGCTGTGGCACAGTGGAAGCCTGTGTTCAAATATCAGGAGAAAAGATGAGGTTTGTATGTGTCTCTAAAATGAAGCCTTCTAGGGAGGAGATTATGTAGGGGATCCAAATTATTATTATTGTTATTATTATTATTATTTTTTGAGACAGAGTCTCGCTCTGTTGCCAGGCTGGAGTGCAGTGGTGCAATCTCGGCTCACTGCAACCTCCGCCTCCCAGGTTCAAGTGATTCTTCTGCCTCAGCCTCCCGAGTAACTGGGGTTGCAGGTGCATGCCACCACCCCCAGCTAATTTTTTGTATTTTTAGTAGAGGTGGGGTTTCACCATGTTGGCCAGGCTGGTCTCTAACACCTGACCTCAGGTGATCCTCCCACGTCGGCCTCCCAAAGTGCTGGGATTACAGCCATGAGCCACAGCACCCGGCCCCAAATTGTCAAAGCCTTTTTTTTTTAGACACACTTATTTATAATTTTCACACTCCTTGTTTGTTTGTGTAGATCCTAGTTTCTATCTGGTATCAGTTTCCTTCAGCCTGAAAAACTTTATCATTATTTTGTAGAACAGGTCATCTGGCAAGAAATTCTGTCTGCGTTATTTGTCTGAAAATGTCATCCTCAACTTTTTACCAGACATGGAATTCTAGGCTGACAATTTTTTTTTTAGCTTTTTAAATAGTTATTTTATTGCCTTTGGCTTTCTTTGTTCCCTCCTTCCCTTCCTCCCTCCCTTCCTTCGTTCTTTCCTTCTTTCCTTTTCCTCCTCTCCCCTCCCCTCCCCTCTGTTTTCTTTCTTTTTTTTTTTGAGACAGGATCTCACTCCATCATCCAGGCTGGAGTGCAGTGCTACGATTTTGGCCCACTGCAACCTCCACCTCCCGTGTTTAAGTAATTCTCCTGCCTCAGCCTCCTGAGTAGCTGGGACTACAGTTGTGCGCCACCACACCCGGCTAATTTTTGTATTTTTAGTAGAGACAGAGTTTCACCATGTTGGCCAGTCTGGTCTCAAGCTCCTGACCTCAAGTGATCCACCCGCCTGTAATAGGCGTGAGCCACCTCGCCTGGCCTACATTGTTTCTGATGAGTAGACAGTCATTATTCTTATCTTTGTTCCCCTGTATGTAATATATCTTTCCCCCATCTGCTTTTAAGATTTCTTCTCCATTATCAGTTATTTTCAGCAATTTGGTCATGATGTGCCTTGGTGTGGTTTTCTTTGTGTTTATCCTACTTGAACGTCTTGAGTCTGTGGATTTATGGTTTTCATCAGATTCAGAAAATGTTAGCCAATATTTCTTTAAATATATTTTTCTTCCCTCCTACTCCTTCTAATTACAAGTTTGCATGTCCACACAATTGTCTCCACAGGTCACTGAGGCTTGGTGTTTTTTGTTTTCAGTCTACTTTTTTCCTTAGTGCTTCAGCTTGGATCGTTTCTATTGCTATGTAACTGATCTTGTCTTCTACAGTGTCTGGTCTGCTGTTAAGCCCATCTAGTGAATTGTTATTTCACCTATTTTTTTCAGTTCTAGAAGCTCCATTTGGTCCCCTTTTATGTATCTTCCATTAATCTTCTCATTCTGTGTACGTTTTCTTTCATCCTTGATAGTAACCTTTATATAGACTGAGTATCCCTTATCCAAAATGCTTAGGACCAGAAGTGTTTCGGATTTCAGATTTTTTTCAGATTATGGCATATTTGCATTATGCTTATCTAGTTGAGCATCCCAAATTCCAAAATCCAAAATCTGAAATGCTCCAGTGTACATTTCCTTTGGGCATCATGTCAGTGCTCAAAAAGTTTTGGATTTTAGAGCATTTTAGATTCTCAGATTAGGGATACTCAGCCTGTACGAGCTCTTTTCATGTTCTTTTGCTGCTAATTCCATGTATCTGTCTTTTCTGAGTCTGTTTCTATAACTGATTTTTCTTCTGGTTACAAGTCATATTTTTCTGCTTCTTTACATGATTCATAGGTTTTGATTGGATGCTGGACATTGTGAATATCATTATGTTGAGACTCAATCTTGTCTTCCTTTCAAGACTGACATACAGACACTCTTCAACTTACAGTCTGGATAAACCCATTGTGAGTTGAAAATATTGTAACATAAATCAAAATATCATAATCCATAATCCCCTCTCAAGTCAAGGACCGCACTGAACATGTGTTGCTTTTGCACCATCATAAAGTTGAAAATGCGTTAAGTCAGTCAGGTGCGGTGGCTCATGCCTGTAATCCCAGCACTTTGGGAGGTCGAGGCGGGTGGATCACCTGGGGTCAGGAGTTCGAGGCCAGCCTGCCCAACATGGCGAAACCCCATTGCTACTAAAATTAGCTGGGGGTGGTGGCGGGCACATGTAATCCCAGCTACTCGGGAGGCTGAGGCAGGAAAATCACTTGAACCTGGGAGGTGGAGGTTGCAGTGAGGCAGAGGTTGCACTCCAGCCTTGGCAACAGAGTGAGACCCCATCTCAAAAAAAAAATAAAAAAAAGAAAGAAAATGCATTAAGTCAAACCATTGTAAATTGTGGAACATCTATATTTGTTTTGGTAAGCAGTTAATGTATTTTCTTAAATCAATTTGAGCATTTTGAGAATTGTTTCAAAGCTTCATTAGGGCAGGTCTAGAGTTAGCCCTAAACACTGATCCCTGGTTGTTCAATAAGATCTCTGTACTCTAGCTGAGTGGAGCTGAGCCTCCTCCAGTTCTGTATAAGTGCTGGAGATTGTTCAGCTCAACCTTTTCAGTAGTAATTGAAATATCATAATGCAACCTGCGGCCATACTACCCTGAATGCGCCAGATCTCGTCTGAAATATCATAATGCGTAACCCCCTCTAAGTCAAGGAGGTTGTGCTCAAGTCTGCTCAGGCTTGTGGAGTTTCACCTTACAGAGACACAGCTTAGTATCCAGTCGGTCTGGACTTCTGGAGCTTTTCCTCTCCATAGCTCCCCAGTCTTTCAGACTTTGCTTCTAAAATTCCAGCCACTTAAGCCCCACTAAACTTCAGTCTCCCTTCAACTCCATGAGACCTTCATGCTACGTGTGGGGCTTCCCCACACTGTGCCAAAGTCCAGGAATGACTTCTAGTGAACTAGGGCTTACTTCATCTGTTTTCCTGCTCTCAGGAATCAGAGTCTTAGGCTGCTTATTAGCCAGTGTCTGGAAACAGTAGTACCATGTATTTTTCCTCCAATTTTCTAGTTGTTTGTGGCAAAAGGGCAAGTCTAGTACCACATACTCTCTCATGGTTGGAAATGGAGTCTTAAAGCCTTTTTTTGGGAACACCTTTGTATGTGACTGCATACAAAGAGAATTCAGTCTGTAAAACTTAGGTAATTGTCTGATAATCACAAGACTAGGGAAAGGATCAAAAAGAACATCTATGAAATATTCTGGGATGGTGGCTAAAATGTATAATCCCAGGCCGTGCACTAATCAGAAGCTAGAGCTGGGGAATCTGCACGAATTTAAGTAAGCTCCCCACATGAATATTTGACAACTCTGTAGGGACTGAGGACCAGCGAGGGCAGGAGTCCTGTGAAAAAGTACTTCTGCCTCATGTCATTCCGAGCAGGGATTGGGGGGCGGTGAAGGTGGAAGAGTCGTTATTAGAGGCCAGAACACTCCACACTCTAAGATTTAGTAAGACCATACTCTCATTGTTCTCCAGCCTTTTTCTTTGCTTTCCAGTATCTCTTCATGACAGATCGTCCTCCTTAGCACTACCTACTAACTTCCTTTTAGACTTCTCCACCCACTAATAATTCTCAATGACTATATTAAATATGAGATCTTGCACTTCTGTTCTCAGAGTCTGTTTTCCCAGATATGTACCTAAGATGTCTTTTGCCAGTGCTAAATTGTCAGCTCAGAGATTGGTGGCTGCTGGCCACACTTGCGATCTGTCTGTCCTTGCAGACTGCTTCTTCAGCCATTGGTTACATAGGACAGTAAGGTGACCGTCTAAGAGGATATACCCAAGGACAGAAGGAGGCAGAGTGTCTGCCAGACATGAGCAAAGCCGGTAGGTGGTGAAGGAGCAGTGTGCATGGAAATTGTAATGATAGAGCAACGATTCTAGAGCCTTTGGTTTGAACCGGCATGAGGGAGAGTGGTAATGAAGGCTTGGTTTGAACCGGCATGAGGAAGAATGGTAATGAAGGCTGGTTATTTGTAGTGTGGGGATCTGGCCCGTCTTAAAGGTGTGTAGAAGTGAGTATAGGGCAAGTTGTTTCCTGCAGGACGTCGTCTTTGGACAGTTTCAGTCCCCAGTTGCTCATGTTTTGTATTTGTTCAAAG